GTTGGCCTTAAGTGAAGGTAAGTTTAAGATTTCCAAAACCCTTTTATCTTAAACTAGGCCTAGCTTAAGGATTATTAGGAGTACTCTGTATACTGGAATATAGTTTAATTAGTTAAACTAGAATTCATTTAAGGGTTGACAAATATTAAAGTGATTGGCCTTAGACTAAGAATAGTTTAAGGATACTGTTGAATGACAAATGATGAATATACATGTTGGATGATTGAATAATGAATGTTAAAAATTGAATATTAATTATTGAATATCTGAACTGAACATTATGTGCATGATATCAAATGGTTGATTATGAATTGAGATTCAATTTATGTGGATGTTCGACGCATTAGATATGCTTACTCAGCTTTACCGCTGAGCGTGTAGTGTGTTTTATTTGCTACACGCAGGTCAATAGATTGATGTGACGTGATCCTGGAGGCAGACAGAGGCGAGATAGTCGGAATGGATGTGATGGTTTTGAACGAAAGAATATAAATAAATTATGTTTGTGATTATGATTTGTTAAGCTTCCGCAATATTGAAAACTCTGTACTGTTTATGATATGAAAAATATCATATGATAAATAAAAGTGTTTGAAAAGTTTTAACTTTTACGATTACCAAGTTAATACTTTAGTCCGAAAGGGGCTGCAGACCTGGACGGATTAGGGTGTTACAAGTTGAATTCACAACAGACACAATCGGATCACTTGTACTTTTAATCAACAAATCATCGGGTATAATAACCTCACCAACCCCATCGTTTTCCTGCCCAGCCAGTCCATCGCCGATACTTGCAATCCACTTGGCAAATTCTGATATTTCCTCAAAATTATCATCACAGGCCATGTGTTGCAAACGCATGTTGGCTGTCAAACGTAGAACTATACAATATTTGCTTAGATATGATGAATTAATCGTAGCGTTGACAATGTCTTGTCTTCTTCCTTTAGGAATCACTGGAAGTATTTGTCGAAAATCTCACCCAAAAATAATTGTCTTCCCTCCAAATGGTAGCTGAGAATTGGCTCGATCGATGACACTCATCACATCACGTAAAC